GTTGAAACTTGGACACGGAAACAACCATTTAATGTTCCCTAACCCTCTCTCTGGTACAGAAAAAAGAAAAGACAAGTGAACAACAACATTCTTTCATATTAAAGTTCTATGTTGTAACACAATTAAAATCAGGAAGAAGAAGAAAAGGGAACATTTTTTATCAGTCTTATCAAATTGTTCCGCAACTTATACATATCAAACACATAACACTAGAAACTCAATACGAAACAAACTGAAATACCTAAAATCAAAAATAAAAACTTGAACTTTAAATGCCATCAAAATCCAAAACCCATACACCAATTCATCCTTTTCAGCTAAATATACGGTACCAAATTAGACCAAACCCACCATTTATCATAAAAAACCAACAAATACCCATCAAAATTAAGCATACCAATTTGATTCTGGGGTCCACAGAATGAAGGAACGTGGTGGGTTCCGAGACGTACTGGCAGATGGGGCTAGCAGTCGCGCCTGAAATCAGCCTGAGGAATTTCTCGGCTCCGAAAGCTTTGGTCGGCAAAACGTTCACCCACCACGGGCTTTGGCTGCTATCGCTCGCCGCAGCTCGAATTTGGAGGCTTAATCTCGGCTTTGCTTGTATAAGGGTTTTGTTCAGTGAGCTCGGGTGAGTGAAATTTGGGGCAATTAGGGTTTTGGGATTAGGGTTCAGCGGGAAAGAGGGGAATGTTACCGTTGTGACGGCACGGTAAGCGAAGCTCATGGGTGAAGCTGAGTGTGGGAGAGATAGGGAGGATTTTTTAGGGATGTTTCTGTACAGTTGGTTAATTTCCAAAGTGGCGGGAATTTACGGTTTATCTCAGCTTATGAGAAAATTTTGCAGCATAGGGAGGTTAATATAACCATTAAATGAAGATATTTTTCGGTCTATCCCAAATAGGTCTGGCAAACGAGTCGTGTCTGTCGTGTTCATGTTATTTTCGTGTAATATCTGTTATCTTAACGGGTCGTCTGTTATCTTAACAGGTTCTTAACAAGTCGAGTCATTTTACCCAACGGGTAAAGTAACCCGACCCGTTATGACCCGTTAAGAAAAAAAAAATATTCCTTAAATTTGCACATACCACACTTTGCCACATAAATATTACTTCAAAACATTAAAACACATAATTTAATATATATATATATATATATATTATAATTATTTTAGTTTTTAGAAGTATAAAATTGTTAAATTAATGTATATAATTATTATAGTTTATTCATACTCATTAAGCATAACATAAGATTTTGTGGTATCCATTAGTGTAATTTTTTAAATTGAAGATCGAATTCATTCATTGTATTCATATAGGGTCAAAGAGTGTAGCTGTAAAAAATCATCAAAATCGGAGTTAAAATAACCGTTAAATCATTATTTTTCTTTTTATAACCGTCAAAAAGTTTTGTCCCGTTACTTGATCTTTGAATGTTTGTTTTTTGCAATTTTTGGCGTATGCGATCTCGAAGTATATACAAATATGTTTGACGATTGAATCGTTGAAACTAGTTTCGAAGAATGCGTATCTCATCAAAACAATAGATTCACTAACACTTTTAAGAGTTTATTTATACTTTCATTAAGTATAAGTATAACATAAGATTTTATGGTATCCACTAGTGTAAATATTTTAAATTGAAGATCGAATTCATTCATTGTATTCATATAGGGTCAAGGAGTGTAGCTGTAAATAATTATCAAAATCGGAGTTAAATAACTGTTAAATCATGATTTTTCTTTTTATAACCGTCGAAAGGTTTTGTCCCGTTACTTGATCTCTGAATGTTTGTTTTTTGCAATTTTTGGCGTATGCGATCTCGAAGTATATACAAACATGTTTGATGGTTGGATTGTTGAAACTATTTTCGAAGAATGCGTATCTCATCAAAACAATAGATTCACTAACACTTAAGAGTTTATTCATACTTTCATTAAGTATAAGTATAACATAAGATTTTGTGGTATCCACTAGTGTAAATATTTTAAATTGAAGATCGAATTCATTCATTATATTCATATAGGATCAAGGAGTGTAGCTGTAAATAATCATCAAAATCGGAGTTAAAATAACCGTTAAATCGTGATTTTTCTTTTTATAATCGTCGAAAGGTTTTGTCCTGTTACTTGATCTCTGAATGTTTGTTTTTTGCAATTTTTGGTGTATGCGATCTCGAAGTATATACAAACATGTTTGACGGTTGGATCGTCGAAACTAGTTTTGTAGAATGCGTATCCCATCAAAACAATAGATTCACTAACATTTAAGAGTTTATTCATACTTTCATTAAGTATAACATAAGAAACACTAGTGGTATCCACTAGTATAAATATTTTAAATTGAAGATTGAATTCATTTATTGTATTCATATAGGGTCAAGGAGTGTAGCTGTAAAAAATCATCAAAATCGGAGTTAAAATAACCGTTAAATCGTGATTTTTCGTTTTATAACCGTCGAAAAGTTTTGTTTGGTTACTTAATCTCTGAATGTTTGTTTTTGCAATTTTTGGCGTATACGATCTCGAAGTATATACAAACATGTTTGACGGTTGGATCATTGAAACTAGTTTCGTAGAATGCGTATCCTATCAAAACAATAGATTCACTAACACTTCCGAGTTTATTTATACTTTCATTAAGTATAACATAAGATTTTGTGGTATCCACTAGTGTAAATATTTCAAATTGAAGATCAAATTCATTCATTGTATTCATGTAGGGTCAAGGAGTGTAGTTGTAAAGAATCATCAAAATCGGAGTTAAAATAACCGTTAAATCGTGATTTTTCTTTTTATAACCGTCGAAAAGTTTTGTTCCGTTACTTGATCTCTAAATGTTTGTTTTTTGCAATTTTTGGCGTATGCGATCTCGAAGTATATACAAACATGTTTGACGGTTGGATCGTTGAAACTAGTTTCGTAGAATGCGTATCCCATCAAAACAATAGATTCACTAACATTTAAGAGTTTATTCATACTTTCATTAAGTATAACATAAGAAACACTAGTGGTATCCACTAGTGTAAATATTTTAAATTGAAGATTGAATTCATTTATTGTATTCATATAGGGTCAAGGAGTGTAGCTGTAAAAAATCATCAAAATCGGAGTTAAACTAACCGTTAAATCGTGATTTTTCTTTTTATAACCGTCGAAAGGTTTTGTCCCGTTACTTGATCTCTGAATGTTTGTTTTTTGCAATTTTTGGTGTATGCGTTCTCAAAGTATATTCAAACATGTTTGACGGTTAATCGTCGAAACTAGTTTTGTAGAAAGCGTATCCCATCAAAACAATAGATTCACTAACATTTAAGAGTTTATTCATACTTTCATTAAGTATAACATAAGAATTTGTGGTATCCACTAGTGTAAATATTTTAAATTGAAGATCGAATGCATTCATTGTATTCATATAGGGTCAAGGAGTATAGGTGTAAAAAATCATCAAAATCGGAGTTAAAATAACCGTTGAATCGTGATTTTTCGTTTTATAACCGTCGAAAAGTTTTGTTTGGTTACTTAATCTCTAAATGTTTGTTTTTTTTGCAATTTTTGGCATATGTGATCTTGAAGTATATACAAACATGTTTGATGGTTGGATCGTTGAAACTTGTTTCGTAGAATGTGTATTCCATCAAAACAATAGATTCACTAACATTTAAGAGTATATTCATACTTTCATTAAGTATAACATAAGATATCCACTAGTATAAATATTTTAAATTGAAGATCAAATTCATTCATTGTATTCATATAGGGTTAGGAGTGTAGCTGTAAAAAATCATAAAAATCAGAGTTAAAATAACAGTTAAATCGTGATTTTTCGTTTTATAGCCGTTGAAAAGTTTTGTTCGGTTACTTGATATTTGAATGTTTGTTTTTTGCGATTTTTTAATGATGCAATCTCGAAGCATATACAAACAAGTTTGACAGTTGGATCGTTGAAATTAGTTTCATATGGTATATATATATATATTTATTAAGTAGATTTAAATCTATTTATTATGTACGTATAATTATTATAGTTTTTAGGGGTATAAAATTTAATTTAAAATTATATATATAATTCTTATAGTTAATATTTTGGGGGTATAATTATTATAGTATATATAATTATTATAATTATTATAGTTAATTTAATATATATATATATAATTATAGTATTTTTAAGGTTATAAAATTATTAAATTAATATTCTTCTTATCGTGTATCGTGTTACCCACGTGTATACTCGAACCAACCAGTTATCTTAACAGGTGCTTATCGGGTTACCCGATAATGACCCGATTTGTTATCGTGTCGACCCGAACACCTGTTAATTTCGTGTCGTGTCGTGTCGGGTTATCAGGTTGTGTCAGGAATTGCCAGGCCTAATCCCAAATACAAACCGGTACATTACATGTATAGCTACGAAATTGTTGATATTTCCATTGAAATATTTGCAAAATTAAGGAGCGATATGAAAATGGATGGTAAAATGCAAACTTCACCTTACATCGGCAAGATATAAGAAAATCAATTAATAACGGCCATATTTATCAATTTACTACAGAAATTTTGCCATAATCCATTGCAGATTTCTAATTTTTAATTATTTTTTTAGAAATTTTTCTTTAATTTTGACTAATCTGAATGTAGTATATACCCTTTTCATTGCAAACTTCCATAATTTTCGTTGAAGGCAACCGATATCAATATCGATGTCGATATTTCCACTAAATCAATATTTCAAACATCAAATATAACACGTAATCTGTTTTGTTTTCTGAGTGCACATAAAATATATACATTAAACAGAGAAGTGACAACATTATTCTTTATATACACATATTTTTCTAAAATATTAGATGTTTATTGAAAATATCATAAGATAGTACAAAGGATAGCTCAACCCATTTCTTACCAATAATATCGGATTGAATTGATCTGGATTGAAATCTAATCCATTAACTGGTAATTGGTAGTTTAATTGCACTTTTGTATTCTAGTTGCACGTGAGTTGAGATGCAAGATGCTTATTTCTCAAGACTAGTTGATATTTAACAACAATTAATACATGAATAATCAACATTCAAGCAGTGTATTAGTGTGAAATATAACACTAATTAGGGTGATTAAACGCTTCCAGTGCGGCTCCTTTCTTAAGCAATAACATCTTCAACCCCAGCATGGATGACACACGTCAAAAACAACTGCGTTGCAGTTACAAGTATTATTATTGTCTCCAAAGTACGCTGTTAATACAACACATAACACCGTGATTAGTCATGTAATTAGTTAAGCTTCTTCTGTTTCTGCAATAAAACTTTCAAAACTATTACTACTTGCTCTTTCCCTAACTATACGAGCTGTCGGTAAATTCTTGCATGTGATGAATGTATTGTGTATACAATTTGTCACATCCTTACTCGGGGTCTATCACATCTCATGCCCGCTCCATCACCGTACCACGATATTGTCCGTTTTGGGCCCCGATTATGCCCTCACGGTTTTGTTTCTAGGAATTCACACGAGAAATTCCCAGTGGGTCACCCATCATGGGATTGACCTCGCGTGCTACTCGCTTAACTTCGGAGTTCTGATGGAACCCGAAGTCAATGAGCTCCGAAAATGCCTTGTGTTAGGTAGAGATATGAATATACATATAAGGCATACAAGATCCACTTCCCTGAGTGATGTAGAATGTTACAATCCACCCTCCTAAGGGGGCCCGACGACCTCGTCGGCACACCACGGCCAGGGTTAGGGTTTGATACCAAATTGTCACATCCCAACCCGAGGTCTACCACATCCTGGGCCCGCTCCATCACCGTAGCATGATATTGTCCGCTTTGGATCCCGACTACGCCTTCACGGTTTTGTTTCTAGGAACTCACACGAGAACTTCTCAATGGGTCACCCATCATGGGATTGCTCTCGCACGCTACTCACTTAACTTTGGAGTTCCAATGGAACCTGAAGCCAGTGAGCTCCGAAAAGGTCTCGTGCTAGGTAGAGATATGAATATACATATAAAGCTTACAGGATCCACTCCTCTGGACGATGTGGGATGTTACACAACTTCTTTCTTATAGCTATTAATCATGTGACGACTAGTAGGTGAGGGTTATGTGTGAAAGGACAATGTGTATGCATCTATGCAAAAAGGCTGCTAGTACTAATTGTAGTGTGCCACAGTGCTTAGTACAAGGAAATCTTAGGTGAAGTGAAACGGATTGTATCGGTCTCTCTTGTCACACGACTAGTCACGTATGAAAGAGTTATTACATGTAATTGTTTACACAACCGGTGAGAGGGAAATTTTCCTCGCCAAGTACGGTAATTATGCTTATATTGGTTTTCTGTTTCAAAAAAAAACATATATATATAAGAGCAGCAACTTACCAAGTTGGAATCTGTCCAACCAAGATCAATCTCTTTACATGCCAATCTGAAACAGAAAAAGTGGAGTAGAAATACATAAATGAATTGGAGAGCAAACAGATAAAGTGTACCAAAAAAAATTCACAATTACTTATTTGATAACATCACACTTTAAGAATAAGCTTCTAACTCCGTACTTTAAATCAAAACCCAATTTTGTAACACTAAAAGAATTTCACAACTAAGAATCAATTAGAGCATAACAAGTAGATAGAAAATGATTTTCGCCACTCCAATCGGGCTCTTGAAGTGTTTTTATACAAAACTTATCGTTGTCGGGGTGTTTGTTTTTTCCTAATTTACTGAAGAACAAAAAGAAGCAGAAGTATTCACCCCATGGCAAGAAGGGTGAGTGACCAAGTAGCAAGAGAAGCAGCAGCAGCTGTGTGCAAGCTGGGGCCGTCCCATTGGAAAACGTTGTGGAGTCCAGTGAGTGAGGTCCCAAATCCAACAACTCCAGCAATGAGGGAGAAGATCACAAAGAACCCAGTAGCCGTATTCCCAAATGGAAAATATATTGGAAATATCCGAGCAGGAATCGACAACACAGATGCTGCATGCATGCACGTTACATGTTGTTAGTAACCACAATTAAGTTGTAATTGACGAGAAATTGTTCAGTGTGATTGCCACAATTCAATCACATGTGATGTGATGGTCATGCCAGAAGATTTCTCGTAATTGAAAGACTGTGCAAATCGATAATTACCGGTTTCGCCAGACCTTTGGATTCCATGGTTGACAGCCCAAGAAGCGATGACAATCACAATGAAATACAGAACAAGATTAACAATTAGGAGAATTGATGCTGCAGATTTTGGCCCTCCATTAGCCATGGCCTTTGAAGTTTTTTCAGAGATGGAAGGAGAAGAACTAAATGTTGTCACCCTTATAGAGCTCAGCTTACAGAACTATATATTCTGAATTTTAATATGTGTCTTTAATTCAAAGAAATGGCTTACATTCTTTTCCTTCATTGGGTTTGCCTCATGGAAGGGCCAAAGAATCCTTTATTTGAATTCTGCACACTCCCTTTCTTTCTACTACACATTGCTGTTTAGTTTTCGCTTTTAAATTAGATTAAATAAATCAAATGAGATATGAGAATTAACATACGGAAATAAACAAATTATAATCACTTCTGCACGGCAGCTCTTTAGACTTTGATGGAATAAAGGATCCCTGCTAAGCACACAAAATAAAAGAATAAAGTTATACTTCTCTCTGTTTAATGCTTCTTTTCTGGCAAAAGACATGCGTATTATTGTACACAGTAGAGCTCGAGTGCTAACCAATTCATGTGTCACTATTTACGCGTCTGGAACCTTTACAGAATTTATCCCATAATCTGAATCGTTCGTTATTCGGATCCTCATTGAAATCTCACTCACTTCTACCAGAATTTGATGACAACGTTTAGCTGTCTGTGTGACTATATAAATGGATGAACATAGTGTTTTCAGATTTTGGTGAATTTGCAGGGAAGATCTTCGAACGAGGACTTAAAAAATGAACAGTTCGAATCAGTTATGAACTTTATTTCTTAAGCAAAAACCAGAGTTCATATGCTGCGTAAAATATCCAATAAACTGTCAAATGATTCAATTAAGGCTCTCCGATCTACACGATTTCTTCGATACAAGAAAACATTCTACAAAGTTGAGCATGACATGAACAATCACTGACAATGGGACCTTTATTTACAAAGGAACTTCTCAAAAGGATTTAAAAGGTCAAGGAATATGCTGCCCACACTTGGCTACTTTGTCCCAATTAGCTGCGTTTTAGGCCCCAGTGGATTATCTTCGGCGAATTGGTTTCAGACTTTCAATGCAAGCTTTTGAGCTGCAAGAGCTTCAGCCTCAAGGGTTGGCTCCCACAACAATGTAGTTTCTGCCAGCAGTGAGGTCACAATGTAAGGGTCCATGTTTGAAGCTGGACGACGGTCCTCCAGATAACCTAACACAAGAGTCAGCAACATCGAAAGGTTCAGTGGTGCAGGTCGTTTATAAAAGTGACATAACAGAAAGGAATGCTGGGAGCATGCCGATGAAGCTTAAAAGACAACACAAATATATTTACACATTTAACCACAGCTTAAGATGGTAAATACTGAAACTAGGGGTAGTACCTTTTCCTTGCTTCTCAGTTTCACGACCAACACGGATTGAGCAACCACGATTAGCCACTCCCTACGAGTTCAAGTTAATGGAGTATTTAGTTACAAATTTTATAATCTGAAACTTTCTGGTTCCATAGTTTAAAGTTCAAGAGAAACAGCTAGCAATTGTTAAGGGCATACCCATGAAAATGTGTTAATGCTGGCTGTTTCATGCTTTCCTGTCAACCTTCTCTCATTTCCTTCTCCGTAAGCACTAATGTGCTCACCGTGGCGAAGGGAAAGATTCAAAATGGCCTTCTTAATAACTTCAAAGCCTCCTTCTTCCCTCATGCTCTTTGTACTGTGAAAGCAATGATTATTCAATATATTATTTTTCCTAAGCATACTATCCAATTATACAGAGGTCGCACTTGGTGCGATGGCAAGTGCCTTCGCCCATGAGCGGTAGGTCTCGGGTTCAAGACTTGGGAGCAGCCTCTCCATAAATCGGGGTAAGGCTAGCCGACATTCACCTCTCCCAGACCCTGCGTAAAGGGGGAGCCTTGTGTACTGGGTACGACCTATACTATCCAATTATACGTAAATATTGTCCATTTCGTCAATGCTGTATTGGCTAATTACCTGTAATTGGTGTGGCATCCTGCACCGTTCCAGTCACCCTGTCGATGCAAAATAGGGGATAAGTTCATTCATTGTGTACAAATACTGAAATTATGGGTATATGGTAAAATCTATATTACCTCTATTGGTTTTGGATCAAGTGTGAGAACAACACCAGCTTGTTCAGTGATTCTCTGCCAGGGTAGGGAAAAAATAAACAATTTTTAGTGAATCATAGGACGCATCGACACACCAAAACTAGTTGAATGATACCATTCAGTTGCAAAACTGCCACCAAGTTATGATTAGGATGAGTTACCTCAAGAATGTATCTTGAAGCCCAGATATGATCTCCAGCTTCAATTCCCACACTCGGACCAACTTGATACTCCCACTGCATGATAATACTGATGATTATTACTGATGGATGAAAAAAGGTATAGCTACAGTACTTGAATTCAGAAGCAGGACAAGATAGAGAAGGGAGAAAGGAAAACCTGGCCAGGCATAACCTCCCCGTTGGTGCCGCTGATGTTAATTCCAGCATAGAGGCAAGCCTTGTAGTGAGCATCTGAGATGTCACGGCCGAATGACTTGTCTGCACCAGCTCCACAGTAGTAAGGACCCTGCGATAAATAGATGCATCATTACCCGGAACTTATTGATTGCGAAAGATTTTATAAGACAGACGTTTAAATACTAGAAATAAAATTATTGAGGCTGAACTGACAGATACTTGCAAACAGAATAACAACCTGAGGACCAGGGTAGCCTCCAACTGGCCAACCCAAAGGCCATTTCACATCGGTTTGGAGTAATGTGTACTCTTGTTCAATCCCATACCTGAAAATAATGGTCAAGATTAGTAGATTCTCGAATCCAAATAAACACATACTTGACACATTAATGTACATAACCATGACTACGTTGTTAATCACTATGTATTAACACAAAGGGATGAAAACTATAATTCCAGTCCGAAATACCTACGAGACAGGCAGGCACACACACACAATTTAAAACTAAGACTTAAGTTATCAAGGGAGAAATTACCATGGGACTTCGTCTATAACCTTCTTGTTCTTGAAAATCTCAGCAGCCCTGGCGCGCTTGTTAGTTGGGATAGGCTCGCCTTGCGGTGTGTAAGCATCACAAATTACCTTTGTGAATTCATAGAATTATGTCAATTAAGTTTTTTTTATATGCTTAGATTCACTGGACATCACAGTACTAACATTTATATGTGATACCTACCAAAATATTGTTGCCACCACGGAAAGGGTCCTTAAATATCGCTTGAGGGCTGGAAGATAGAAGTTATATAAATTTCATGCTGTAACAATGAAGAGATACAACCATAAATGTGGTTTTGTTCTGAAGATCTTACTATAAGATTACTTCACTGTCTTCACCGGGTGCTTGTCCGGTACTTGATCCATCATAGTTCCACTTTGGAAGCTCAGACGGATCTTCAACAGGTTTTGATATTGTCTGAAACATTTGTAAACAAATATACGCATGAGAATAATCAAACCTCAATCTTTCAAAGTTAAAATTTAAAGTCCATGGACATTTATCATACCCTTGACTTGCTGCGGACATCAACCCCTGACCCTCCGATCCTGTTTCAAAATGATAAAACATCATAACATTTTTTGGAAGCAATCTACCATGATGTCAAAGACTAAACAACCGACTGCCGAATTTCTTTCAGGTGCAGTTAGTTTGCGAGTGCTAACATGCGTTACAAATATCAGATGGGACAAGATGAGGCATACCAAATGTACTCGGCAATAATCCTGTCAGTGAATGGAGTAAGGTCCAGGTTCAGTAAACCCTCTAGCCTGTTGATTGTATAACCTTCGGCCTTGGTGGCGAGCACTCTAAATTTAGTAGAGCTCCTAGCTGGTCCTTTCTTGTTCTGTTTCAACACAAGAGAACCCCACATCTTTGCTGTCATAGGACTGGCAGTGGTTGAGCTCCTTGTAATCTTCATCTGCCATTGTGAATTGGGTGCCAAAATCTGCGCCATTTCGGCCTACTCCTCACTGAAAAACAGTATAAACCATCATCAAGGACTTGTAAGTAAACGGATCATGGCGTCTTAACATCAAGATCCATCGAACTTACGAAATTAAGATCAAAATACAACAGTTTGATGATAAATCTTCATGTGAGAGTAAGAATACTCAGCATTGCCACTTCAAATTACTGTATAACTAATGAAATTGCATTCCTTCCATTATATAACATGAGATGACCAAGTGTTTTCTTGTTATTATACAATTTAACTATGAAATTCATCGAATTGACCGCCTAATCTCTCCTTTAGTTTTGTTTTGTTTTTTTTGTATGAATATGCATTATCTATTCTTTCTTGCTATTCCCAAATCTATGTTTAAGCGTTAGTTTCTTAGCATTACCACAATTGTTTTAACATGGTTAACATTTTGTGAGCTTTACAAGTTAGCGCTAGTTTCTTAGAACAAAATTACCACTAGTTGGTAGTGCACAACAGCGTTTCGAAATTACTATTCGTGAAAATTGTTGTATAAAAAAGTCAACTTTAAGTATTGTTGGACGAGTAGTGCTATCTACACACTCATTTTTACCCCCACACACTTCTTATTAATTCTGCCATTTAATCTTATTCAATTCATTCAATTTGATATTTGAAAATTACGTGAATGTTCGAGAGATAAAAAATGGTACGTGGATAAAACTAGCGTATTGGACAAGTGGAAAGGAATTACAAAAAATAGTAAACGCACATTTGACAGCTGACAACTTTGACATTGTAAAGCATATACCAAATGACGTAACAGAGCCCCAATTAATAAACAAGGTAATAATAAATCTCACAAAAAAAAAAAAAATGAAGAAGAAAAAGAAACAGAGAAAACAAATGTAGTCAAAACTCTACCATTTGGCGGACTTTTTGCAGCAGAGTTACAAATACAAGGCAAGAAATGATAAAATGTAGTATCAGATACTGTTAGTTTTGACCGAATGCTTGACTACCCCATCAGCCATTAATTAAAAAAAAAAAGTACATTACTTTCCAGTCCCCCATTGATTTACCTGAAGACTGCTGCAACTTGGCTAGGAACTGGGTTGTGCTGGAACGAGCTTAAGAGAGAGAGGAGAGGAGATGTATTTTTGGTGGGGGAGTTTTATGTATAAAATAGTGGGTGATGGGCAAAAGATTTTGTTGGCCTTTCCTTAGCAGATAGGGGTGTGGATGTGTGGAGGAAAATAGTTTCTGGTCCCTTTAGAGGCTCCAAGAGAGGATCCAGAGAAAGGCTTTGGATTATGTGAATATTTATGATAGGCATATGTAAGGAAAGGAAATAAAGTATGATTTTAATGCTTGGTCAAGGTTATATATTGCATTGTAAAGTAATATATTTACTTCCCCATAACAAGAAAGTCAATGGGGGATTGAATTTCATTGTTTATTATTCAATCACTTGCTTGTTTCGTTTGATTAGAAGAGATTTCATGTTCAATTACAAGAAACGAAGCAAACAACTAAGTCGGCAACGCTGCAGTCTAAGCGTTAGCGGTTCCAACTCCTGATTTATATAACTCCTGATGGAATATCAATTGTAATGAACAAATTTCTTCTAGGGTTCGTATCGAAAAGGAACTTCAATTTAATGATAAAAATAGTCAACCATCTTGTATTTTGACTAACCACTAAAGAGATATGTCTAACCTTGCTAACGTGAAGCGGATACGAAGAATATATATATTGGCGGTCAGATTAATACCTACCTACCTAGTTGTGGTTGATTCCATAATAATAACGCAGCTTTATTGTATGCATGTCACCTAGTCGTATAGGTATCATTATAAATATCATATGGTTTGTAGTATAAAAAAAAAGAAAAAAGGATTAGCTTCTTGATTCCAAGGAAATATATCATTATCATATACAAGGGGTGATCAACGTAATCATGTTCACTAGAGATACAACTCAAACTTCAAAGTAAAAGCTTGAAAAGATGTATAAACTTCGATGACTTATGCTAAACTCATATTTAATCATACAATTCATTGGATGGACTAATAATTGAGTTGTATAATATTTGATACATGGAACTGATTTTAACACGCTTTTTTTCTTCACACGTACACTCCATGCTTGTTTCTGAACTTTTAATTTAGTAAAGGTCGTACCCAGTGCACAAGGCTCCCGCTTTACGCAGGGTCTGGGAGAGGTGAATGTCGGCTAGCCTTACCCCCATTTATGGAGAGGCTGCTCCCAAGTCTCGAACCCGAGACCTACAGCTCATGGGCGAAGGCACTTGCCATCGCACCAAGTGCGACCTCTTATTGAACTTTTAATTTAGTAAAGTAAAGAAAATCAATCGACGACATCAAACAAGCATGCAAACAAAAATCAAAGGGTGCGATGAAATCAGTTCCGTTGATATATAATAAGGAGTAAGCCCTCTTTTTCTTCATTTCGAATAATCCAACAAATGCTTGGTAATGTTTGTTGGAGAAAAAGACATTATGAAAATTACACTTTTGGGACCATGGTGTGTCTTTATATAGAGATTTGAGATGCACATTTCAAATGCGATTCCTTCGATCGAATGAGATCATATCTGCTGCTATCTGGTGGCTGAGTTTTTCACATGCTTTCCAGCCAAGCTTTGTGTGGCAGTGTGGGAGAGTCTCTTATTAGTCTTGCTAGCATCTGCACTTCTGAATCTCCAACAAATCTCTCAGCTTTTTAAGGTACAAAACAGTTTATAAAATGTTGACGCCAGTGTGATAATAATGTAGTACATGTGCGCGCCCATTTTGGTTTAGGAAATAGGTTACTTTAATGTTGGTTGAATGGAAAGAAACTTACATCTGAGACGTTACTGTGATGGTGTTTTAATGTATCTAACTTTGTCACATGATATTTTGTTACTGATTTAAGATACCCCACATCTTTGCTGTCATAGGACTGGCAGTGGTTGAGCTCTTTGTAATCTTCATCTGCCATTGTGAAGTGGGTGCCAAAATCTGCGCCATTTCGGCCTACTCCTCACTGAAAAACAGTATAAACCATCATCAAGGACTTGTAAGTAAACGGATCATGGCGTCTTAACATCAGATCCATCAAACTTACGAAATTAAGATCAAAATACAACAGTTTGATGATAAACCTTCATGTGAGAGTAAGAATACTCAGCATTCCCACTTCAAATTACTGTATAACTAATGAAATTGCATTCCTTCCATTATATAACATGAGCTGACCAAGTGTTTTCTTGTTATTATACAATTTAACTATGAAATTCATCGAATGGACCGCCTAATCTCTCCTTTTGTTTTGTTTTTTTGTATGAATATGCATTACCTATTCTTTCTTGCTATTCCCAAATCTATGTTTAAGCGTTAGTTTCTTAGCATTACCACAATTGTTTTAACATGGTTAACATCTTGTGAGCTTTACAAGTTAGCGCTAGTGTCTTGCCCTCGAACTTGTGACATCTTCCAACATTCAAAACAAAATTACCACTAGCTGGTATTGCACAACAGCGTTTCAAAAATACTATTCGTGAACATTGTTGTATATAAAAAAAGTCAACTTTAAGTAGAAGTAGTACTATCTACACACTCATTTTTACCCTTCTCCCACACCCCTTATTAATTCTACCATTTAATCTTCTTTAATTCATTTGATAGGCATATGTAAGGAAAGGAAATAAAGTATAGTTTTAATGCTTGGTCAAGGTTATATATTGCATTGTAAAGTAATATATTTGTTGAACAACAAAATAACTGAAGATGAATGGAAGTAAAGCTGCACATCAAAACCAAAGAGATAAAAAAAATCCTACCGTTGTGTACGAAGACATCAGGCAAGCTTCCAAAGCAAAGAGTCACCACCAAAAGACACCTGCAACAAATCATGAATAAAAAAATGAAGTTGCGGAATATTAATCAAATCCAAACAAAACGGAAAAAAATGAATGAAGCCTTACTGACCGTTCTGTTCTTCTTTTCAAAGAAAATAACGAATAGTAAAACAATGGTGCGGGAGAAGCTTGTGTGGAAGAACTGATCAAAAGAAATTCAAAAAAAGGTTTGGAAGAATGTTATTTATCTAAAACTACCAAAATGGGGGAATTTGAATTGCTTTCTTTGTTAGTCGCCTAGCATGAGATAAACCCCTAAATAAAAAAAGAGTTTTGCGGCAAACAAACTTCTCAAAAGAAAATAGGAATGCTTCCGCCCACGTGAAGTCCTGCTTAGACTTGGAAATCCAAGTCAACAAGGAGAAGAAACGAGAACCGAAAATAAAGAATAAAAAAAAGGAAACAAAAAGAAAATATGTATTTCTTCCTACAAAAAGGGGAAAGTTACGTGGAACAAGGGCTTCCTATTTTTTTCTGCAAGACGTGGAAGATTGCACAGTTAGTGGGAGAGGTTAAGAGAAAGTGGCGGAAGACATGGCCTCCATCTCTCCACGTAAAAAAAAACTCTAGAGCTCTCCTAGGATGTCTATAAATAGGCATCAGCTACAGTAAGAAAAGAGAAAAGAAAAAAAAAATAGGAGGAGGTATTCTGCAAAAATTGAGAGACAACGGAGAAGAACAGACGGCAGAGATCTTGAGAAAGTTGGAGAGAAATCAAAGAAGTGAACTACTACGGAAATTCAACGAGACAAAGGCAAACAGAGAAGAGAATACACGACAAAGGAAAGCAACAAAGCATTTAAAGGTACAAATCCATCCTTCTAAATCTTTCTTTCTTTGGTTTCTCTCAGTTTTGCAAGAAAAAAAAGAAACAATTTGCTTCTCCGACCTCTCCCATTCCCCAACTTTCTATCAAGTTGCAGCCCAACAAACTGCAACAAAACCACCACATCCCTCTGCCGCCGCGGCGGCGATATACAATGGAAATTTCAACAAAACACAATGGTTGGATTCAACCCAATTTCAAAAGGAAGAACCAGTTGCATGGGTGCCCAAAGAAGTTTGGAAGTATGATTTGCATGGAGGAACAATGCCTACCCACCGTGCCCAACAATGATTCTGAAATTCATCAACGACGCAAGGGTGGTTTCCGAATGAGACAAGCCATAGATGTACGAGAACGCCACCGAGAATCTCTGCCCAACTTGCCGATGCGATGCCACCGAACACCACCACTTCAACAACACCGACGGCCACAGCAGCCTCTCTGTCCTCCAGCCTAGCGTCGCAGCATGCTCCATTTTCTCACCGACGGCGTAAAAGAAGATGGTCATGAACGAAGTCCTCCGCCGTGAGAATAACAACCGCAGTGGCTGCTGAAGTTGAAATGGTTGTTGCTGCTCCATTTTAGGAGTTCATTTCAAAGAATTTGGTGGTTGCTGCTGCTTCGTTTTAGGAGCTTATTTCGAAGAATTTGGCAGTTACTGCTGCTCTGTTTTAGGAGCTCATTGGGAAACTTCGAATTAAGAGGAATAAGACTCGAAGAATTTGGCACAAAGTTGGAGAAAGAAGTCACACCAAAAAGAAGGATGCTTCCAGCAAAGAAAAAAACCCTGTCGCAGCCGTTGTCTTGGAGTTAAGAAGAATAGGGGTTGCTGACGATAAAGAAAAAGAAGCAAAGTCCACCTAAACTGGTTCCTTTGTTCCGCAGAGAAGAAGACTATTGGTTAGTGAAGTAGGAGAACGAGCGTCCGTGGTTCGGGATGTCGACAAAGAAGAAAATTACTTTCAGAAATTACAAAAGGGTTCCCGTTCAAACCAAAGTCTCCTGTCGGTGCCGCTGTTGTCCATGTTTCACGACCAAAAACTCCCTGCCATGATGCCTTCTTGAATTGCTAAGAGTGATCTAGATCACTCGGATGAAACTCGAATCCAAAATCAATCCTGCAAAAGGTGCTCTCTGCTGTCTTGCCAAGCCATTACTGACCCAGCATGGAAGCCATTTAAAGACCCGGTCGTTATAAACGAAGCAGTCCAAAAATGGCAATAGCAAGAAGTTTTCCTTCTGTCTAAATGTGAAGAGAACAAGAGTACCCAAGAACTCCATTCACCGCCGTTGACATCAAAACCTAGATAAACATCAAAATCTCGGTTTAACCTATTGATCATGGTTATCCTCAAAAGCCCTTGGTGTTCTTCCTTGCGACAAAAATCCAAAAAAAGCCCAGCCAAAGAAGAATGGGCTTTGCTTGTTGCTGAACAAAGTTTCTTTCAAATTCTGTCTAAATTAGGAATTGGAAGAAATGATTTCCAACTAGCAAATAAAAAGGTGAAGAGGTGACGTTTGTCATGACTCTAATTAAAGACTAGTTTGATCCTACGAGAACAAATCCAAACAGGAAGTTGTAGCTTGAATTAATTCATGGGCATGATTGAATTAGTTCATAGACAAAAGAGAGCTTGTTTTAAAATATAAAAAAAAAGCTTAGCACATGGTGATTTTCAAATGAGCAGCTCACCGTTAAATGTTGGTTGAAAGTTTAATCAAAAGCATGGAGACAAAAGCTACAAGCCAAAAGCAAAGGAAGGGAAAAAGTTTAAAACTCAAAAGGAAAGACAAGTAAAAAAAGTCTTTTTCACCAAAAAAAAGGGACCAGCTTTCTTGCTTTCAAAGACAAATTTCAAATAGGATTGAATTCCTACGAAACCTATTGGAGAAGGAAGCTGCAAAGGAAGAGGAAAAATAAAATACCTCTCATGTGAGTTTATCACAAGTATGACCTCCATCAAGTTAAAATTAAACATGGAGCAAGAAATAGTACCAAGCCAAAGTCAAATGCCAAAACTAAATATTAGTGGGTTTTATTACAAATATACCCGTTAATTTCATTTGACAAATGAAGTGGTACAAAACCACGAAAGCTTTTCAATAGTCATCCAACCATAAAGTTTTCTCATAAGGCACAAAGCCACTCCAAATTCAAATGGCACAAAGCCACTCCAAATTCAACTGGCATGAAGCCATGACAAGTTTCAAAGGGCACGAAGTTGTATCAAATCTCAATGGCACGAAGCCGTACCAAGTATCAAAGGGCATGAAGCTGTAACAAGACTTAAATGGCACAAAGCCACGTATTGCTCTAATGGCTCAAAGTCCTTGCCCACACGAGCTAAAACTGCACTAGGCATCAAATGCTCCAATGGCTTAAAGTCCTTACCCGCAAGAGCTAAAACTGCACAAGGCATCAAAAGCTTCAATTGTTCAAAGTCCTCGCCATCACGAGCTAAAACTGCACAAGGCATAAAGCCCCAACAAATACATCATGAACTACGAGTGACTTGATCCTTCAATGATGGTACGTAGGCAATCTAGGGCTAAACCTAGGTGTAGTTGCAAAATCAAATAAACACCTAAATCCCCAATTTATGATTTATTCATATTAGAATCAAAGGGTATTCCTTTCCCATTAATAGGCGCATAGCCTAGAATAGGTTGAACTCAAATTAATAAAACCTTCTTCAAAAAAATGAACGAGAGTGAAATTGTGTCGAGTGAAATATTTGTTTACATATTGTGTACAATTTTTGCTCAACATGATTTTTGGCACGCCCAGTAGGACCCATTTTCCGTTTCATCTCTAAATTCGAAGATAATTAATGTGCTATGTTTTTGTTTTTTGTAAACAGGAAGCATGGCGCCACAAGTTACTGTTTACTTCCACGAACTCCCTGCTGTTGAATCCAAACTTGGATGTGGAAGGCGTGCTAGTCGCCGAATCATCTTCACCATCAATCAAGCACCAACTAACTGTAGCATGGTGAAGACGAAGGTAGCGACAAAGACATGCAAGGTGGCTGTCAAAGTCATCAAAGATGGGCCGAAGAAATGCCCATCCAAGAACGCCCTAATGAATGCAAGGAAAAGATCGACATGAGCTCTTAGGAAGAAGATCGCTAGGGAGCATTTACTCAAAGACATCGAAATTGTCTCAAGGGAGCTTCTTAGAGCTGTTTCATCTAAGGACACCATGGTGCCTCAACGCAAGATCGTCAAAGTGACATCATCACCGCCTATCAAGGTTCCTGTCATCACTCAAATTATGATCGAAACAATCCCAATCACTTTACATACAACGGAGTTGGTCATGATGACCTTTGTTGAGGAAGATGGAGAAATCCTACCAATAGTGTCCGAAAATGTTCAACAAAAGGCCAAGGCCTATGAACTTGTCGAGGAAGATGACAACATTCAATTCGAGGGGCCTATCATGCGTACAAGGGCCCGAGCATTGACAGTCCACTCTCCTGAGAGTTCATCTTCCATTGGAGACACTTTTGGAGGAAACAAATCTTTTTCCCAAGAAGAGATTCCTAGAGTAATGACT